AAACGGCCAAAAGTTAGGTATGTGGGAGACACACCCACAAACCACCTCCAGCTCAGCTATATAATTGGAGGCATGGCCTCTCTGGTTCCTAATCAAGCTGCTTAACGGCCATGATCCCAGAGACTCAAAAACGAATCTCAGAACCCAAAGGCTTTTGGTGGAAATGCATCCTGTTTCTGCAGTAGGTTACTGGGGCTGGGCCACTCCAGATGGGAATAGGTTTCGTGCCTTGGCCTGTTCTCCTTGGCGGCCCAGTGACTGCTATCCTCCAGAGACCACTGGACAGTCAGGTTTGGGCCTGCAGTGACGAGACACCTGGGTCCTCACCAGATGAGGGTAGAACCGGCCCTTTCCTTCCCATCCCAGCGAGACCCCAAGTCACCGCCTACAAACAGCCTCTCTGGCTCCTGATCAAGTTGATTAACAGCCATGATCCCAGAGACTCAGAAACAAATCTCGAAACCCAGAGACTTTTGGCAGAAATGCATCTGGACTGCATACAAGGTGGCTTTCCTATAAGCTCAGAGCTTATTGGAAAGCCAGGTATGAGCCGGTGATGACGAGGCAACTGCAGTCTCATGGGAAGGGGGGCGGTACCAGCTCGTCCTTCACGCCCTACTGAGGTCACGAGTTGCCCCCCACAAGCGGCTCTCCAGCATGGCCATGGCTCCAGAGGCAAAAGGACTTAATCCAGAGCCCGGCAGCTTGCTGCAGAAAAGTGAATGGACCATACCTTAAACTACAGCACCATGCCTCTCTGAGAGGAAAAGGGTGTTGCTCCCTTCCGCCTTTTTCCCCCTGGCAGCAAGGTGGCCGCCACCTCAGAGCTTATTAGAAAGCCAAGTATGAGCCAGTGGTGACAGGGCAACTACAGTCGCCATGTATGAGCCAGTGGTGATGGGGCAACTGCAGTCTCATGGGAAGGGGGGTGGTACCAGCTCGTCCTTCACACCCTACCAAGGTCACGAGTTGCCCCCCTCAGCGGCTCTCTGGCACGGCCATGGCTCTAGATGCAAAAGGACTTAGTCCAGAGCCCGGCAGCTTGCGGCAGAAAAGTGAATGGACCATGCGTTATACTCTGTTGCCATGCCTCCCCAGGAGGGAAAGGGTGTTGCTCCCTTCTGCCTCCCCCCCCACCCCCCCCTGTAGCAAGGTGGCTGCTGCCTCAGAACTTATAGGAAAGCCAGGTATGAGCCGGCGGTGACGAGGCAACTACAGTCTCAGGGGAAGTGGGGGTGGGGGGGAGTACCGGCTTGTCCTTCGCGCCCTACCTCTCCGGCACAGCCATAACACCATTCGCACAGAAACCAATCTCATAATTATCTGGCTCTTTGCAGAAATCGAAAATCATTATATGATTCTCATAACCAGCTATAGAAAACAAAGTATTTCACACTGCCTTTTCAGCAATTTTGATTGTGGGCCGGGGCGGGGGGGGGGGGGGATTCTAAACAATAATGGTGCATCTTTTGGCGAAATAATGAATGTAATCAATGTAGAGAAGAGTTAAGTGGAAATCATCTGCCTCACAGGCATTGGGAGGGATGGGAGGGGGGTATATTGGGGTTCTTGGTGGTGAAAAATTAGTACTGGTGAAGGGAGAGGTGTTTGATCATTGTATGACTGAGACTTAAACCTGAAAGCTTAGTAACTTTTCCCACAGTGATTCAATAAATAAATATAAGAAGAAAAATAAAACTATGAAAAAAAACAGTTATTGATTCAGTTGTTTCATCTCTTATCAGCCCACCTAACCTAACTTCTATCCCTAGTCCCCCACATGGCCCCGTAAGTTCCTCTAGGAATGATCCCTTAACTCAGAGCCAGGAGTAAGTCCTGTGCACCACCAGTCACAAATCACAAAATCACAAATCATCCTGTTATTTGTCGATTGCCTCGAGCAGGCCCCAGTAACGTCTCTTTCATCCTAGCCCTAAGATTATATTCAAGGCTCTTTAGGAGAATGAGACCCATCATTGTTAACTGGTATTTGGCATATTGGGTACAACACAGGGAGTTTGCCAGACTCTGCCGTGTGTTCCAAAAATCTAAAACTAAAGATTTTCTAGAAGGAAATTAGTATGTAATGTACATAAAGGTGAATTTTCTAGAATTGCAGCTAGAAGATACATTTTTATATAACTGATTGTATTTTTCCTTTGGATCTTTGGATGAATTGGTTCTTACTGCTCACTCTCAGGTCATTCTGCTTCTACTTTCAGACCCTCCCTTTTGAAGCCTTGCCTGATTATCCTCTCCTCTTCTGCAGAATTCTTTCTTAATTTTTACTTCCTTTAAAACAATTGAGTTATTGATTCAATTGTTCCATCTCTTATCAAACAGTGGAGTTACCTATATATTATTCTTTTCTCCACCATTCTTTAAAACCCTTGTAAACATTTTCAAGTTACTTATTCTTTTCCATTAAAATGTAAACTATTAAAAGCAGATTATCTGTGTCTTTTTGGATTGCTGAAACTCAGGTGCCTAACATAGTACCTAGTACATGCGACATGCGTAGTACTTAATAAGTATTTGTTGAAGGATTAAATTAAATGAACAAATAGATATGCTTTTCTATTAAGTAAATATGAGTGTGTGTCCCAATTTTAAAAGTACTAGGTAAAGAATTTTTCTCTGCTAATCATCCATTGTAGATAATGTTCACTTTAGTATTTTCCTTTCCCTCCTTATTGATGCTTATATAAAGTATACTCTAATCATCTGGGGTTGGTCTTAGAGCATGTAAAACCCTAAACTTTTAAGATATCTTTTCCTTAGAATCTAGGCATCTGACCTAACTAATAGTTCCCTTGTAAGAATTACATTACATAGTTATCCATCTGATTTTGAGATCTGGATTTTAATCTTTCACTCAGTGCCTCTCCTCACCTCGGTCACAATACATTGCAAGTTTATGAACTTAGGCAATACTTCTGGAGCTGTTATTCTTGGTTCTATCAGCTTGAACAGGGTTTGCTAAAAACCAGTTACAAAAAAGACCCAAGGCTTTTTTAAAAGCTATTGAAGCTGTTATTTCTACTCCCACCTGAACCAGAAATCTAAAATACAATTTTGCTTAAAATATTAATTTATAATCAGGTAAAAGTATTTGTTCATTGGTGTTGGAATAATGTATGCATGAAATCGTCATTAACGATATTGTAAATCACGCTGTACCTCATAAAATTTTTCTAAGTATTGGGGGATCTGAAGTAAACAGGTAATAAAACTAAAAAGAAAATGGAGTAGATGAATATATTTTAAGAAGTGGAAGGCAAAACACGCCAGGTATTGTATTTTCTTAGCTAACATTGGCTAATGACAAGCACAGAATTAGTAATCTTCCTGTCTTATCACAAGTGGGGAAAAGACATATATTCTGCAGGAAAAGTACTCCGCAAGAAAAGGCTTAAATATTGCTGCTAGTATTTAATTTTAAATATTTAGGGCCAGAGGGATAGTGCAGTAAGGCACTTACCTTGCTTGCAACTGACAACTGTTTGATCCTCAGCACCACATATGATTCCCCAAGCACAGACAAGAGTGTTGGCTAACACAGCCAGGAGTAAGCCCTGAGCACCACCAGGTGATTAAAGTTTGGCAGGGAGGGGCAGGGGCAGATATTTGAGAGATAGAATACTGGGTAGAGCCTCTGCCTTGCACATGGGCAGCCAAGGTTCGATCCTTGTCAATCCATGTGGTCCCAGAGCAGCACCAGGAGTAATTTCTGAGTGCAGAACCTGGAATAATCCCTGAGCTCTGCGAGGTGTGGCCCAAAACAAAATGGTGATGGTGGGCAGGGGGTGGAGGAGTAATGAGGAGAGGGAGGAAGAAAAAGAAATCAGAAGTCCCCACAAAGTTTCATTAAAATCACTTCATCTTTATCTCTTTAGTATGGGCAGTGCTGCTTTTCCTCAAAAACCAACATGCTGCTAATAAAATTAGTATTTGCACAAATTTAACCAACTTTTAAAATCTTTAGATGATTACCTTGGTATATAAATAACGTCTTGAAAGTTAGTCTGTGAGTCAGTTTCTTTGAAAGGGAAGGGGGAGACCTCAAAGTCTAAGTACAAACATTGCATGTGGGAGGCCCAAGTTCAGTTCCTACACTTATGTGGTCCCCCAAGTCCTGCCAGGTGGGACCCCTGAGAAATGCTGAGTATAGTGAAAACACAAAAAAAAACACACATGCAAAATTAAAACATTTTTAAAAAGCAACTTAAATGATGGTTTCCCAGAATTCCACGAAAATCCATCTTTTGTGGTTGAAGCACCTATAATTTGCAGATGCATTAATCAAAAGGCCCGTTTTGAAATCAGAACAACAATTTCCAGACAGTGAGCTAGGTAGTTTACATATGTAATCAAAGCACTATAAGATATGTATTGTTTCTTTATAATAAAGAGGATACTTAAAGATAGTTAAAAGATTGCTGAGAACATACAACACTGCAGCTAGGATTTGTGTTTACATTCAAGTGACTTAAAGCTTTCATTACTCGACATTTGTTATGCTATATTTACATGTAAGAAGTGTTTATATATTTTATGAACTAAGCAGTATGTTAAATTTTCTATTGAATTCATGCCACACATTTAAGCTGAACTAAGAACATGTGTTAACTGTAATATACAGTCGTTGTAAGTGCCACTTAGTAGAAACGTGCTATGGATACCGTAGGAGCAAAAGTGTCGCATTTATATACAGTGGTTTACAAATATTTATGTGTGAGGAATTGTTTGGATTTAAATTTTCCTTTTAATTGTTGATGTATGTTCCTAAGCTGTAAATGAGGTATTTTTTTTTCCAAATTTGTATTTACAAGTGTGTATCATTAAATGTCATGGTGGAGGATATAACTCAGCGGCAGCACATATACCTTACATGCATTAAAACTGGGCTCAATACCCAACACCAGAGAAAATGTTTTTGTTAAAAGTCAGCATGTGTATATATGACATTAAGTTCACCACTGATTTTTTTTTTTTAATAGTTCACAGAAGAAAAGCTTGGCCAGGCTGAGAAGACAGAATTGGATGCTCACTTAGAGAACCTCCTTAGCAAAGCTGAATGTACCAAAATATGGACAGAAAAAATAATGAAACAAACTGAAGTCTTACTACAACCAAACCCAAGTAAGAAACTTTGTAATTCAAGCTTATTGACTAAAATCTTATCAAAAGTTAACTGGTACATTTTTATGTCAATGACTATTTAAATCTAATCTTTTGGTTTAAAGTTATGGCACTGCCTGTAGCACTGTCGTCCCACTGTTCATCAGTTTGCTCGAGCGGGCATCAGTATTGTCTCCATTGTGACACTTGTTGTTACTGTTTTTGGCATATTGAATATGCCATGGGGAGCTTGCCAGGCCCTGCCATGCGGGCGGGGTACTCTCGGTAGCATGCCGGGTTCTCCGAGAGGGATAGAGGAATCGAACCCAGGTTGGCCTTGTGCAAGGCAAACGCCCTAATTTGAGGAAATTCTTGCTCAGTCTGTATTCTAGGGGATGTGATAGAGGTTGGCCCATGTTCTCACAACTGTGAATTACCTCTGCCACTTTTGTTCTATTAAGACTCCTTGTTTTCCTCATTACTCCCATGTTTTTAGAAAGACCCATTTTTTTCTTCTTTGTAATACTAACAGCAGTTGTCAGACATTGGTTTAGAATACAAATAAAGGAAATCTACATGTTAAAAAAAAAAGGGCAGTTATCGCAACTCCATCTCTAGTACTAACTTAGAATGCTTTACTCCATCTTCTTTTGCAATCAAACTTTTTATGACAGTATTGATCAGGTCAGTGGCTTTGCGAGATGTTTGATTCCTCTGAGGTAAGCATATTTTTATCTTATGTGCTTACCACAAAACCAGTAGTCCGCAAAAAGCCACATGACTTAATAATGGGTGAAGGCCCTCCCGTTGATCGTCGATTTGCTCGAGCGGGCCCAGTAACGTCTCCATTGGAGACTTTGTTGTTACTGTGTCTGGCATATCGAATACTCTCGGTAGCTTGCCGGGCTCTCCGAGAGGGGCGGAGGAATCGAACTCGGGTCGGCCATGTTGGCCGCGTGTAAGGCGAACGCCCTACCCGCTGTGCTATCGCTCCAGCCCTTGACTTAATAAAATTGACATTATTATCTGATATGTTACATATGCTACACTTTGTCCAGAAAAAAATTCTTGCTGACCAAGTGACAGAAATCTAGATCTTCTGAATTAGGAGTAAAACATAAAATATGTGAGAATATGGGCACTATAGCACTGTCCTCCCATTGTTCATCGATTTGCTTGAGCGGGCACCAATAATGTCTCACAACGAATTGTGAGACTTCTTGTTACTGCTTTTGGCATATTGAATATGTCACAGGTAGCTTGCCAGGCTTTGCCATGCAGGCGAAATACTCTGGGTAGCTTGCCGGGCTCTCCGAGAGGGGCGGAGGAATCGAACCCTGGTTGGCTGCATGCAAGGCAAACACCCTACCCACTGTGCTATCGCTCCTGGGCATATTACATTATTACCCGCTGTGCTATCACTCCAGCCCATAGTTATGGCATATGTGATTATTTTTAATGATTTATGGTGAAGACGTTGATAAATGTGCCCCCTTTGTATGCTCAGTAACAGATAAATACTTTTTAAGCTTTTATAGAAACCTCTTAATATTCAGTTTGATGGAATGACTAAATTTTTTTTTAATTTTTTTATTAGTGAATCACCATGAGGTATAGTTACAAACTTACAAACTCTCGTATTTCATTTCAGTCATACAATGATTGAGTACCCATCTCCACCGGTGCCCGTTTTTCAGCACCAATGATCCCAGCATCCCTCCCACCACTCCCACCTAATCCCCTCCACCACACCCCACCTTTGTGGCAGGGCATTTCCTTTTGCTCTCTCTTCTTTTGGGTGTTGTGGTTTGCAGTAGAGGTATTTAGTGACCATCATGTTCCATCTATAGTCTACTTTCGGTATACATCTCCCATCCCGAGCAGGCCCTCCTAGCACCCTTTACTTGGTGTTCCCTTCTCTGTCTGAGCTGCCTTTTCCCCAGGCATGTGATGCCGGCTTCTAAGCTGTGGAGTTCTTCCTGGTACTTATCTCTACTATTCTTGGGTGTTAGACTCCCATTCTGTTATTTTATATGGAATGACTAAATTTTAAGAGTTAAAATGAGCTATGAAGAAAAATTAATATTTCTTCCACTGGATAAATAACTGCCCCTAGTACTAAGAGAAAATTTTATAGAAGTTTAAATAGTTGTCATTTATGTTAAGTTCTATATATTTTTCCATAAATGATTTTATTTTCAGACAACTCTTGAGTTTTTTAGATAGCCTACTCAATAACCTTGCACCTAAGATACCGTATAATTGTTTATTGAATAAGAATCAAGTTTAGCAATGTAACATAGCAAATTAAAAGTAGAATTTGTATTTGAACCAAGTATATTAACATAGTATATAGCAATATGCTTATTTTTTGCTGTTAAACAAGTGTTTATTCAGATTTTACTGCTTTTTCCTTGACATTTATGCTAATGTCTTATTATTTTTTTATCCTTTTGTTTTATCTTTTGAATTTATTTAAGTTTACTGGGGTTTTGTTTTGGGTTTTTTTGTTTGTTTGTTTTTGGTTTTTGTTTTGTTTTTGAGTTCTTTTTTATTTTTAGGGAGGGGTAATTGTGCCATATCCAGCAGAATTCAGAACTTACTCCTGGTTCTGGCTCAGGGGTTGCTGCTGACAGTGTTTAGGATACAGTATGGTGTCAGGGATCAAATTGGGGTAAGCTGTGTATGAGGCAAGTGCCTTAACCCCTGTCCTGTCATTCCAACTTCTTTTTTTAATTTTTAGTGGTGAAATCTCTTGAGTGAATATGTCCAGACATACCTATATATCTGTATAACTAAAATCATGCCAATATCATGGTACTAATCTCTGTATAGATTATTCCAGCCTGTATTATTCTGTTCAGAAACGTGTGACTCAAATTCTTGGTGTCATATGTTCATATATATTTTCATGCTAAAAATCCCTGATTTCAGAATTTTGCAAAGGAAACTGATAATAACAAAATATTCAGCCTTTGGAATGTAAAATTTCATAAAATACATAAAACAGATTTTACTTTAAAGTATTTGCCAAAATATCTTATCAGACTTCTAAAATATATTTTAAAGTTAATACTAACATTTATATGTGTATATATGTATGTACTTAAAACTAACTTCAAGTTTATATTAAAGGGCAGTCATTGTCTGTTAGGAGAGTAAACAATGTTTTTAAAGATAGTTTATTTTTTACATCATTGATAATTTTAAACCTTTCTCGCAGATGCCAGAATAGAAGAATTTGTTTATGAGAAACTGGATAGAAAAGCTCCATGTCGTATAAGTAATCCAGAACTTTTGGGACAGTACATGATTGATGCCGGGACTGAGTTTGGCTCAGGAACAGCTTATGGTAAGTAAAAGACAAAAGGGTCTGATAAATATTTTTATCTTTAGGGTTTTTGCTATTTAGTGACATTATTAACATTTACTTGATTTTAGTAGATCAGTTTTTACTTAAGATCTTTCATGTTAAAATTTTGGAAATATGGGGCTAGATAGATAGAGATAGGGTGCTTGTCTTCATCCCATGTAGTCCCCCCCAGCTCTGCTAGGAGGAGTAATTCCTGAGTGTGGAGCCTACAGTAACCCTGTGCATCTCCAGGTGTGGCCAAAAAACAAATTTCAAAATAGAAATATAGATAGCCAATAAATACAGTAGCACTGTGCTCCTGTCGTTGTTCATCGATTTGCTCAAGCAGGCACCAGTAACGTCTCCATTGCGAGACTTGTTACTGTTTTTGGCATATCAAATATGTCACAGGGAGCTTGCCAGGCTCTGCTATGTAGGCAGGATACTCTCTACTCTCGGTAGCTTGCCGGGCTCTCCAAGAGGGACAGAGAAATCAAACCTGGGTCGGCTTCATGCAAGGCAAACGTCCTACCTGCTGTGCTATTGCTCCAGCCCAGTAAAAACAGTATAATTAAATATTTAATTAATGTAAACACATTACTCTGAGAATTCACTTTTTTTTTCTAGTTACAAAAAGTTAACTATTAACTTTTTTACTTGCACTCCTAGTGAATCTTATAATAGCTATATTATATTCATAGGTATATTATATTGCTTCCTTGACATATTAAATTTTAACATTTATCTCCTCTATTATGTTTTTTTAAGCTTTTCTTAAGAACTTTTTTTATATTGAAATACTTGGCACATGGTGCTTCAACAAATTACTAGTATTTATGCTACACAGTAATGTCAATACCACAAAAATGTTAACCATAATTATTTCTGGATGTTTGGATTGCATTCCATTTTCTGATATATTTCACTTTCCTGTAATCACATTTTATAGATATTCCAGCTTTGCTAGTTGTTTTTGACATAAAGCTCAAGCTTATAGTTACACATCTTTATTATGCCACAGATGTAATTTTCTCAGAATATGAAACTTTTCTAGACTTCTTTTCTATAATCCAAAGTTGCTAATTTTCTTAAAATGTCAGTAAGTAATCAGTACTTTTTAGATAGAAAGCATTAAGTATTAGGTAAATTAAACTACTTAAATATAGATCTGATTTATAAAATAGCTTATAAATTTTAGGATTATAAGAAAAATTTTAGAAGTAAATTAAATTAAGTCAGCCTTTATTAAGATTGACTTAATAACCTAAGTACTGTAAAATAAATTCCATTATTCAATTGGATTTTTAGATTATAACATTGAAACTTTCATATTTTTTAAGGTATGATTCAGAAATCTGAAAATAGTTTCTATAATTTTACTTTAACACATTTTTATTGTTATGCCAGGTGTACATAGGTGCTGGAGTCAAAAGGATTTATGAAGGGGCCAGAGAGAAAGTACAAGGATTATGAAGTTTGTCTTGCATGTAGCCACTAACACAGCTGAGTCTCACCAACCCAACCCACATCCCGCTTGCTCTCCCCCACAAAAAAAGATACAGGAAGTTCCAGTTCTTTACTTCTCGAAACTGAAAAACTAGTGGAACATAAAAATTAGAAAGGGTTCTAAGTTTTCATTCAGCTTGATCTGTTTTCGTCGCTAGTAATATCAGGTTATGCACCCTTATTATTGGAAGTTAACTTCATTAATCTCTTTATTAGCAATTGATAATAGGTAACAATTGAGTCTTCCTAGCAGTGTGGCAATACACTACATGTAGTCTTACTTCAGTAAGTTCTTGTTCATATCCTATTTACAATGCAAATATCTATCTCTATTTTAAAGACAAGGAAATTAAAATTTTTAGTGAGGTTACATACATAATTCACCTATAATCGCACAACTAATAATTCAAATGTATCTTCTCGGTCTAAAGAAGGAACTGAAAAACTCACAAAACTAAAGCTCATTAAAGTTAAAGCTAAGAGTAGAAACTTGGTTTTGTTTTATGTTAATTTTTAATAAGCATAAATGTATTTTACGATGAGCCCCCACATTCTGTTACATGACCGTGTATAGAGTCATACCCCACAGTTTTAAGAAGCAAAGAGCTTTATAAAATCTTACATTTTTCTTTTACTTTATTTTCTACTCTATGAATTTTTAACTTGATAAAAATTAACTAATTAACTAATAAAATTAACTGAAAAACTAGTGGAACATAAAAATTAGAAAGGGTTCTAAGTTTTCATTCAGCTTGATCTGTTTTCGTCGCTAGTAATATCAGGTTATGCACCCTTATTATTGGAAGTTAACTTCATTAATCTAATAAATAAATTTTATTTATTAATTTATTAATAAAATTAATAAAACTAATAAAAATTAACTAATATGCACTTATATATAGATATTAATGATGATGTATAAATATAGAAACAGAAGATAAATATCTAATTGGCCTATTTAATAAAATATGTTTTCCCCTTTTTTTGTTGGTATAATGGGTTACACGGTTGGTTCCCATACTTGGAACACTTAGTCATGGTGCTTATAGTTGTAGTGCTTACACATTTACACTGAGTTGCTCACATCCTTAGCTGTAGTGCTCACTGGGGGTCTTGGTTATGGTGCCTGCGTGCTTAATTTTGGGTCATGCTTTGGTTTCAGAGCTTGCCCACACTTGATTATAATGCTCTGGAGATACACTTTTCATCCAGTGCCAGAGTTTGCAAACAGCAGTGCTGCCTGAATCGTACTTAATGTAGGGTGGGGTGGGGGATCAAACCCATAACTTCAAGTCTGCAAGGCAAGACACTACCACAGAGCTCTCTCTGGGCCACAAACAATATTTTAAGCCTACATAGTTTTTATAAGATATCTATATTATTTGATATGTGACTATAAGTACCTACCTCTTTTCCCATTGGTGGAATTGATACAATTAATTCTGATATGATACATTTATCTTTGTCATTTTCTTTTGACTAGTTATTATTACCATTAAAATAAAACTAATTACAGTTAATTCTGTTTAAGTTTTACTTAAACAGTGGACTGCTAATGTGAAAACAGAAAAGATGACCAATTTGTCTTAATGTGATTTTGTTGTCTGACATTAACAGACAGTGTTTAAAAAAGAACTTTTTTTCCTTTGCAGGTAATGCCCTTATCAAGTGCGGAGAAACACAAAAACGAATTGGAACAGCAGACAGAGAACTCATTCAAACATCAGCCTTAAATTTCCTCACTCCTTTAAGAAATTTTATAGAAGGAGATTACAAAACAATAGCTGTGAGTTGAAATTCTTTCTTTTTTTCAGTAAAAATAATTTAGATCTGTACTTAGTGTTTTTAATAATTTTCTCTATTATTAAATAGGTATAGCAGATTAAAACATCTAAATCTTGTTAGGTGCATTTACAACAAAACCCAAAATTAAAGCAAAATAAAGGACTCTATTTTTGTACATTTCAGTGTTATTAAAATCCTTTACATACTTCTTGCTCATTAGCAGCACTAAAACCTGCAAGTGATTCCTGGTACAAAATGGCTCTGTACTATACTATAAACATACAACTATTTATATAAACTAGGAGTCAGAAATATAATCCTTGGAAGCTACATCTCTGGATCATATACTTCCTGCCTTTTTGCATGTATAAAAATTAATTTTCAGGAATCTTTTATTAATGGAGTACAAAGAATAATGCTTTAAATATATGTGTACTCTTAATTGGATGTTAGGATCATAGATTTTAATTTTGTCTTTCCTTTATTTATAGAAAGAAAGGAAACTGTTGCAAAATAAGAGATTAGATTTGGATGCTGCAAAAACCAGACTTAAGAAGGCCAAAGCTGCAGAAGCTAGAGCTGCAGTAAGTAGTATATTAATAGAAAAAGACTTCTAAGTTACTTATCTTAAAACTTGTACGATGTTTTACTTCCACCATGCAAGTTACACCTTATCCTTAAAACTAGAATATGATTTGGGGATAAGTGCTTTTCTGTTTTTAAATAAATTTACAAAACTTGGGGCCAGAGATACAGCTCACTGGTAGGGCACAAGCTTCTCATATATGAGTCCCTGAATTCAATCCTTGGCACCCAAACTTACCAAAATTTAGTAGATCTAAAGCAGTGCAAAGTAGTCTTGTCAGGAGGCTAGTTCTTATTTCAGCAATATGTTGTTCCAAAATACAAAAATAATAAGGGCTTCGTAGTCTATCATTTTTCAGTTTTGTTTCTTTGTGGTTTTTTGTTTGGCTTGGTTTTGATTTTTGGGTCATACCCAGCAATACTCTGGGACTACTACTGGCTGCGTTCTAGGAGGTGACTCTTGGTCGTGTTTGGGACCGTGTGGTGCCAGGCATCAAACCCCAGCTTTTTGCCCGCGAATCATGCACTTCAACCCCCGTATTCTTTAGCTGTCCTCAGTGATGTTGTTGGATATGTCTTTTGGAAATAGATACAGTACAGTTGAAATAGGAAGAAAATATAATGACAATAAGCCCTGTTTGAGAAAGCTTTCGTATGGCTTAAATATTAGAAGTGACTTACTGACTTCAAAACCATTCAAACATGGCAGCACGGGTTCTTGGTAACTATTTTGAATAGGGAGGAAACTTATTTGGATAAATAAATTCTTTAATATTTTTTATCAAAACCACCTCACGAGGTAGGGAGATAGTATCCCAGTTAGAGCACTCAGCTAGCATGCATCAGAACCAGGTTCAATTACCAGCACCACATGGTGGCCTGAAGTGTCCTTGGGTGCAGCTGTGGAGGTCCCAGCTCCATGCTGGTAACCCAGGTGTCACTGACACCATCATTTATAATTGAGTGGGCATAGACTAGAAATTCAATGACTTTACAAATTAGTATTTCTATAATTGCATATAATACATTTCTTAGGAGATTTCTTTGTAAGCTTATTTAATCTAATATTTATACTGTTTATGCCTCCATCCCAGATTTTAAAGAGATAAACAGATTTGAATTGGAACACCTTTAAGATAGTACAGTGTAAACAAATCTGTATTAGAGGAAACTAACATGGTAATTCTTACTTTGAGCTAATGGATAGGCTTTGTTGTGAGGCATGATATTCCCCCTACCTTCTCTTTCCAACTCTCTAGAATACTTACTATCCAGGATAATTACCTTAATGAACATATTACCACAATGCTGATAGAAATCTATTATGTCTTCTTATTTGGGGGGATAATAGTTTGAGATTTGATTTAGAGTAAAATTTGATAGTGATTTAAAATATTTAATGTTAGTGTTGTCTTTTGAGGCTATCTGACTATCTTGTAAAAGCAAAACATTTTTTAGGTGGTTTCTCTTCAGATTTTTAGAAGCTCCTGCTGGAAATTAGTTAGGTTTGGCCAGACTTCACTAGTGTTTATTTCATCTTAGAACTTATCAGAACATCATCATCAAGATTCTAACTGTCCAAACAGTGTTTTGCAAAGCCAGAATTTTAGAAATTAGTTCTGTAGATGACACAGTCTCAGCTGGTATACTAGATTCCAGTTTCTAACAATAAAGTTTATATATATAGTAAAATGGAACATTTTAAAGATAAATGCATAAAGATAAATGCAGGAAAATTTGTCATTAAGATAAATAAGAACCATTTAGAAATCCAAATTTGAAATGAAGCAATCTCTTTATTCATAAAGCCTACTTGTGCTGAGAGATTTTTAAATAAGAATAAGAATATTTTTGTCAAGTGTCAAAAAATTTCCTTATAGTTGCTTTTTAAGTGGAAAGGTTAAAATGAAAAGCTTTACAAAAGAATTCTAAAGTTTTATTTATACTCAGATTTTACAGAATTTACATATTGCACAAAACAAAATTTAACTGTAGCCAAATATTTAAAATGTTCTTCTAGATTAAAAATCCTGATTTTATTGTTTTCCTCCTTGATAATCTACTCATTTTTCTTAGCTATATGGAAGTCCGAAATATTCCAGAAACTGAAATAAAATCCTTGTAGCCTGTTAAAACATAAGGCTTTGAAGCCAAAGCATACCTATATTTTGTCATCATTTTCTCCTTGTATTTCTATTTTATTTACTTGAAGGATACAGAAAGATAGAACCTACTACAAGTTTGGATTTACTTTTTTGCTTTTTTCTTTAACACATTTCCTGCTATTAGAAAGTTGAATCTACCACACTAGATTGAGAACTGAGGACAGCAAAGATTTTGCTTTTTTATCTGTCACCTCAACAAAGTTCAGAATTAATACCAAGAAGGAATTTGAAAGTTTGGAAACTAGTAAACAAACTTAACAAAACATTCATAGGTCTTAAACCTTAATTGTAAAGTAATACTTAGTCCCCAAATAAGTAATTCATGAAATCTATAAAAAACTGAAATCAGAGAAATTCTGAGGTTAGAGTGACCTCTTCAGCTACCAGCGTAGCTATATACCCTTTGAGCTATTTCTGTTTCTAATTCCCCAGCCCAGTTTTAACCTTAATCATATGTAAAGTTTCAGGAAAATTAGAGTTTTGTTAATTAAAAAAAAATTATAGTTCCGAGCTCACTAATATTTATTAATTTGGCTGGAGTGATAGCACAGCGGTAGGGCATTTGCCTTGCACGCAGCCAACATGGCCGACCCGAGTTCGGTTCCTCCGCCTCTCTCGGAGAGCCCAGCAAGCTACCGAGAGTATCTCGCCTGGCAAGCTCCCCATGACGTATTCGATATGCCAGACACAGTAACAACAAAGTCTCCAATGGAGACGTTACTGGGCCCGCTCAAGCAAATCGAAGATCAACGGGAGGGCCTTTACCTTTACCTTACCTTTACCTCCTTTGAGTATCAGTATCAAATTTGACAGAAAATACATCTTCAAGTAACAATATGGTGAATAAGCCCCTCCACCCATTTAAGCATTTACACAGTTTCACATTTAAATTCTACTCATTTAAACGTTTTAATATTTTGAAGCTGGAGTGATAGCACAACAGTAGGGCATTTGCCTTGTGCTCAGCCAGCCCGGCTGAGCTGGGTTCGATTCCTCCACCCCTCTCAGAGAGCCTGGCAAGCTACTGAGAGTATCTTGCCCGCACAGCAAAGCCTGGCAAGCTACCCGTGATGTATTCAATATGCCAAATACAGTAATAACAAGTCTCACGATGGAGACGTTACTGGGCCCGCTGGAGCGAATCGATGAATATCGGGAGGACTGTGACTATGAATATTTAAGCATTACTCATTAAAGAATTTTCACTGCAACTTATCCCCTTAGTTTGTACTGAATAAATTTTTAGCACAATCCTATAACCTTAAGTTTAATATACCTATATTAGAATTTAAAGTTTATTAAAAATTTAAGGATTTGATATGCCTTTCATATTTCCTTTGAGTATGCCAAAACTTGGCTGAGGCTGGTTAAAAGGGAATGTGGTAGAAGGCATCAGACGTTCGAAAAATTAAAGCAATCTTTAAATAGAAAAATTGTGAGTAGGAAGAACTGCCATAGAAGAAAATTTAATTTAAAAGTTGACAATTTTTTAGATTTTTTTTTCCTAAATTATTCTCTTTATTTCTTTCTTTTTTTCAGTGAAGGGGATTTTACCCCAGTGCCATGCCAGGCATGTACTCTACCAGTGAGCCACATTCCCCACCCGAAATAATTCTAAGTTAATCATCAATTCTATTTTTTATTTTTAAAAAGTTTAATCTTCTGGAAAAATTCATTATACACCACTGTATGAAATTCTTAGAACAATATAGTTTTTTAATGGAAAACCATTTTATCAGCTCTATTAACATTTGTTTATGTCTTCTTTATTGTGCAGAAGTAACTTGTTTCACTGTGCTCATTGGTATAATGTGTTCTTTGTTTCTTACTTATGCACTTAAGCAACTAAACTCAAGTCGCCCTGAAGGAGATAACATTATGGTAAATTTCTCTTACATGCTCAACTTCCTGCATGTAAAATGGCTGAAGGTTTGTTGGCCTACTGTGTTTTTTACATCTTGAATAAAGTGCCTTCTCTTGCTATTATATGCATGTAAAAGTCTGAAATAGTCAAAGACATGCATTCATTATGACAAAAAATATAAGGAATACTAGGTAAAGTAATATTAAAACTAAAATGAAATTGTATGTTCTAATTGCCAAATATATTAGGTATACAAAATTCATGTTGTAGAATCTGAAGTTTTATAGATATAGATAAGTATATACTTATAAAATATAGTGCCTTTTATACCCAATAAAATATATTAATCTTACTGGCACTTTGTATATTCTCTTTTAGCAAGAAAAACTAAGAAAACTTACTAAGAGAAAGGTATAATGTCCAAATTATGTATAAATTGCCTTTGTATCTCAGTATCTTCAGTATTAACCTTTATTTTTCAAGCAAATGGAATTTCAGACTAAACCAAATCCCAGTAATTTATGTATTTCTGTAATGTCAAGATACATTCACCATTGAGTGCCAGTTCAGTTAAGTTGCAGAGACAATACTTGGCAAAAATTGGAATGAGAATTGAGCCTTACTATCCAATGTATATATTGAACTTAATTTAAGGAAATGTTTGAGATTTTAGGAAATTTAAGTGTCATGAATTCTGCAGTACAGATTCATTTAGAAATATCAGTAATTGCTTTTATGCCATTAGTTTTGAATTAAAAGCAGGGAGTGGGAAAGCCATGTAATAGAATAGGAAAGATTATACACAGTATTTTATGTGTGTTTTTCTTTTTCTAAACTATAATTAAAGCCCTCACTAAATTAGCAAGAGAATGCATTCCAATATATGTCCATTGTCCTTTATGTAGGTAAATGAAAGTATGAGACTATGTTAGGTAAAAATACTCTTGTAACAATTAGCAGGACTTTCATGTTCTGCTTTTGTTTTGTTTTTGACAGTTGCTTTACTACCTGTCATCTACTTATGCTAAGAAGTATTTTAACTTAGTCAATTTATACTTATTGTATCTCAAGTTTATTATGCTGTCCAAAATAGCTATATCAGTGTCCAGTGTCTGTTTATCCTTGCTTTAATTTCCAAACATCTAGAATTTTTTATCTAAATGAGAAAGTAGAAGTTAGCCCACATCTCTCATATTACAAATGAGAAAGCTAGAATTTAAGAGGGATTAAATATTCCCAATTTGAGGAACTTTTTCTTAGTAATTTGTAGAATTAGTATAAAATCAAAAATTGATAGTATTTTTATATAAATGAGATTTTCACAGTATGTTAAGCTATACTGATTTAGTTGCTGTTGTATTTAATGTTAGTGTAATTCTGGAACAGGAAAATATGCCATTTGAATTAAAATACTTACATTTTTCTATACTAAGTTGTAGAAAATACTAAATTCCAACTTTCTTTCATGCTCTATATTTTTCTTTAATTTTTAATGCTGGCTAGATTTGGGCAGAGGAAGTGACAAAAGTAAGTAAATTATTACTACGGAATTAATGAAACAACTTATTTGTCATTCATTCAGTATAGATTGAGTAGCTACTGTGGGGACAGTTACTGTTTCTGTTACTACATCTTATAAAGTCTGAAAATTATGGGAAGTTATGTTTGAAACTTTTGAAAAAGGTTTGGGAAAGTTTGTTGGCTAGGAATGGCTCTTAAGAGTAGTAGACTAATAAAGAGATGTGGTTTGCAAATACTCTTATAAATACTAAATAGTATTAATATATAACCTGCTACATAAATTCTATATAATAATATTACTAGGTGGTAATCTTTATAATACCTTACCAGGAGGCTTTTTAAATACTGGCTTATTTGTGACACCTGTGTAAAATACAGTAAATACAGAAAACTGTAATACAGTTTTCAAAGATAAATATTTCCTTTATCTCTGAAAAAATGTATATTATATTATGTCACACAGTCCAAAAAAATCTAGTTTTCTTCTAGATAACTGAAAGTTGGTCTCTCTAGCACCAAAGCTAATTTTTCTCAGTCGTTTTTTAAATGCTGTCTAGCATCTAATTTTATGTCTTTTTATTATTATCAATATCCAATAACAGTTGAATTTTCTGTTTGTTTTTTATGTATACTGTCTCCTCCCTCAGTGTTATCTGTCACTTTAAGAAACTGTCCTTACAACTGTACTAGCAGTTCCCCTAACTTGTGGCATAATTTCTAATATTCTCTGAGCTATGTAATCACAGAACTAAACACGTAAAGGAAAAAGCTATGGCTTTTGTATATCGTTTTGAGGTCTTCAGAAGCATTTATCACCGTCCTTGTTCAGAATATCAAAATCTGATCTCCATGAGGGCTGGGCATAAGAGTTGAGGGCAGGTGGCAGTTGTGGACGCTGATTACTAATCGTTTTACCACTTCAACTTTTTATTTTATGACTTTGTAGAATTCCTGACTAAACAGTATTGCATGCATTGATTATGGAACTGTTTCGTGACTTTGAAAATCAGTATGAAATTCTTGGTTCTATTCTCAGCTATCTTTGTGAAATCCCTTTATAAACTTAGTTGTGGCTCCATCTTGGCCTTTGGTTTCTTTCTAAACTATTAGCGTGAAAAGGGGAAAGAACTATAGATTGAACAAAAGAACAAAAAGGTCTCTTCCCATTTAGTAGGCATAGAGGTACAATAGGAAAGGGAAAAAAAGTGATTTGCTTCTACATTGTCTACAAGTTTAAGAAATATTTAGCTTAATAAATGGGAAGAAACTAAAGAAACAATTCCATTATCTATGTATGTAAGAAAACAAAGGAAATACATAAAAGTGAATTTTTTTACTCGCGTTATTTTTTATAAAGTGTATACTTTGAAAATTGTTTTTGACGTATTTTCAGATTTAAGTCCATAAAGAAAACAAGAGTTACGAGTTATTAACTCCTAACATGCATCTGCCTCAGATGCATGAGTAAAATTTCTGACCTAGAGTTTCAAGTTTTGATACACAATCCAACAAATACTTAGGGGCATGGCAGAGACAGGTTGAAGTGAGTCTAGCCACAACCAGGAGTCCTCAGGGCGACTTGTGGTCTGTTCTGGAGTCACTAGTCCTGGTGATGCTCCAGGCACAGTTGCTGGGGGGGACCTGGACCTTCCACATGCAGAGTATGTGCTCCCGCCCTTTAAACTGTTTCTCTAGCCCACAAATCAACCAATTCTTGAGCTTTTCCCAGTTACATCCTGAAAGAACTTTCATTCACTTTCCTAACTCATGTTATGGTGTCATATACTATAAATCAGTTAGTCCCGTGACAGTAATTCTAAGTAGTAGGTCTTTCGTACAACCTTGACCCCTTTTCTTTTTGGTGCCAGTGATTGAACCTAGGGTCTTATACCTGCAAAGCAAAACTTTTGTAAAATTAGAGTATCAAAACCTTAGGGGGAAAAAGTTAATTGAATTCATTTCTGTTTGTTGTTGTTTTTTTTAATCTAATAATCATTTTCTTCCGAAGTAAATTGATTTTGCTAAATCTAATTTCAGTTATCTTAGACTACCAGATGATCACAGTTACATGTTTCAGAAGTATAGATGGTTTGGGACAATCGGCTGTTAAAATCACCCCAATCTAAAATGCGTTTAACAAATTAGATATGTTTTTTATCTGCCTTTTCTAAATTAAAAGACTAGAATAAAAAGTGATGACGTTTTAGGCTTCAGATCATGGTGCCTTCACAATTGAATTTTGCTCAAATATAGAAGACATCTTTATTCTTATTGATTTTTAAAAGTGCTTTTTACCCCCCCACATAGTGTGATACTTACGGGTTACTCCCATCTTTGTACCTTGTGGTTGCTCCCAGCAGTGCTCAGGGTATCATGCCATGTCAGGGATCAAACCCCAGACTTCTGCACATAAAGTATGTGCGTGCAAGTGCTAATTTTAAAACAATATTTCCATTTTATACTCATACCACCTGTTCATTTTAATCTGCACAGCTACTTGCTTATGCCTTTTATAGAAACAACCTTTTAATATTTTTTGCTAATAAAATCTATTCAAATTGTACTTTCACAGTCAAAGACACATATGAAACCAACATAATTTATTTTTGACATTCACTTATATTTGGCTTTCTGTATATAAATCAAAAGTACTGTGTTCAGTAAAGCAGAACTAGTAAATATTGCAGATGTTACACGGTGGTTAATTGTTTTTCTGTAATACTTTCCTTTGCAAGAACATTGATTTTTCTCCTAGGAATTTTTCTGCTTTATGCCATCTTTCAGATGAAACTTTGTTAAGCAAAATTGATAATAGAAAATATATAAAAGTAGAATGACTCTCTCATAGTAGTTTCTTTAGACTTTTATGTATATATCATTAGGCTTGGCATAAGTGAATGCTGTTAAGTAAGCTTATTGTTAGGGAAATCAATTCAGTCTAGGTAGGGTAATATAGGAACTAAGGTATAGAAACCAGGAAACATTTTAGGTACAAAGTTAAATTAAGGAACTGTCTGAGTATTGTTTGAGGCTTGGGGGATCTTTTAACGGTCTAAACAAATGTACACAAAATTGACCAAGTCTTTTGAGATTCTAAAACCTTGCTCCATTTCAAGTCTGAACAGGAATTAAGGATAACTCAAAGTGAATTTGATCGTCAAGCAGAGATTACTAGACTTCTGCTAGAAGGAATCAGCAGCACACACGTGAGTGTTCAGTCATTAAAAATTTACTTGAAATAGAAGAATGTGCCCTAAACCAACTTGGGGAGGTAAAACTAATTCCATTTTTCTTTCATTAAAGAAGTTTTAAATTGTGTCATTTCCCAGGATATATTAATAGATATATTAAATACTTATGCCTCATTCTCATACCTTCACAAAATCCTGTGGTTGACTTTTATTAGCTAATTGTTTTGTTACTGTGCAGTTCACTAAGGTCAGTCTTTATTAACTGTGTAGTAAAATGCTAGCTACTGGTGATTCTTTCTATGAGCACAAACAGTTTTGTGCTATTTCCTTTTCGCATTTAATAATTTGTCATTGATTATAGTGCTTACTGTAACTTTTCCTTACAGGCCCATCACCTTCGTTGTCTGAATGATTTTGTAGAAGCCCAGATGACTTACTATGCACAGTGCTACCAGTACATGTTAGACCTCCAGAAACAACTGGGAAGGTAATCATTTCCTTTTACGAAACTCGTAATATGAGAAGAAATTTAGAGCTTATTGTATAGTAAAGGTAAAGGCCCTCCCGTTGATCGTCGATTTTCTCGAGCGGGCCCAGTAACGTCTCCATTGGAGACTTTGTTGTTACTGTGTCTGGCATATCGAATACTCTCGGTAGCTTGCTGGGCTCTCCGAGAGGGGCGGAGGAATCGAACTCGGGTCGGCCATGTTGTCCGCTTGTAAGGTGAACGCCCTACCGCTGTGCTATCGCTCCAGCCCATTGTATAGTAATATTGCATAATAATAGAGCTGAAGATAAGAAGAATGAAGGATGTGTATGCTTGCATAAAATTAGGGCTTTTAAGGATTGTAGTCATTTCTGAGGTAACAACATTTTGAGTTTCTGACAGAATATAAATAGGTTGGGAAGACAATTTCAGTTCTTAATTATTTTGTTTGAAGTCTTAAACATGTTTTAATTCACTTTGTATTGAATGCCTCTTTCAGTTGATTAAGGTAGTTACCCTGAGACATAAGCTAATTTAGGCTTTTTTTTTTTTTAACTCACTAGTGTTTCTTCTCCTGGGGGTTGGGGGGTGGTGGAGGGTGTTATGGGAGGTACTTCCCAAGCAATGCTCAGGAGATTGGTCAACCAGCCAGAGAGGTTCAGGGGCCTGAGGATGCGATGCTACCTGGGCCCTGACGTGTTGGAGATGTGCTGTGGTGCTGGGGTACCTGGACAACCCCAAAGGAGCTAAGGGCCTTCTGGACTGCACCTGGAGATGCTTGGGGAATTGGGATGCAAACCCAGATTGGTGTATGCTAGGAACACTCCCTAACTGCGGGGCTGTCTCCTAATCCCTTGTTCATTATTTTTTGTTGTTAAATAAAAGGTGTTAAAGGAGGTCAAAGGGATACTAAAGCCTGTAAGGTACATGCCTTGCACACAGCTTACCCCGGCACCCCATATGTACCACTGAGCTTTCAAGGAGTAAGCCCTGAGTACTACAAAAAGGTTTTGAAATATTTTAAGTTCTGTAAGATTTCAAGCCCTATGATACCACTTTGAGTGTGGTAATATAATATGAGGGCTGGAGTGATAGCACAGCAATAGGACATTTGCCTTGCATGCGGCCAGTTGGCTGACCTGGGTTTGATTCCTCCACCCCTCTCAGAGAGCCCTACAAGCTACCAAGAGTATCTCGCTCTCATGGCAAAGCCTGGCAAGCGCCCTGTGACGTATTCGATATGCCAAACACAGTAACAACAGGTCTCACAATGGAGACGTTACTGGGCCCACTCGAGCAAATCGATGAACAACGGGAGGACAGTGCTACAGTGGTAATATGCTTTAAAGCAAAACAGTAGCATGCAAAGCATAGATTTTTTTTTTTTGACTCTTATTGAATCACCATGAGATAGTTACAAGCTTTCTTGTTTGGGTTACAATCACACAATGATCAAACACCCATCTCTCCCCCAGTGCACGTTCCCCACCACCAATATCCCCAATATACCCCCCTTTCCCACCCTCCCCCTGCCCCTGTGGCAGACATGATTCCTCGTAATCTCTCTCTACTTTGGGGCATTATGGTTTTCAATACAGACCCTAAGAGGTTATCATGTTTGATCCTTTATCTACTTTCTGCACACATCTCCCGTCCCGACCGATTTCTCCAACCATCTTTTTCTTAGTGATCCCTTCTCTATTCCAGCTGCCTTCTCCCTTCTGCTCATGACGCAGGCTTCCAGCTATGGAGCAGTCTATCTGTCCCATGTATCTACTATTCTTAGGTGTCAGCCTCATGTTATTTTGTTTTATACTCCACAAATGAGTGCAGTCCTTCTATGTCTGTCCCTCTCTTTCTGACTCATTTCACTTAGCATGATACTCTCTCCATGTCTATCCATTTATAAGCAAAGTTCATGACTTCATCTCTCCTGACAGCTGCATAATATTCCATTGTGTAGATGTACCAAAGTTTCTTTAACCAGTCATTTGTTCTAGGGTACTTGGGTTGTTTCCAGATTTTGGCTATTGTGAACAGTGCTGAATGAACATATAGGTACAGATGTCATTTCTGCTGTGCTTTTTTGCATCCTTGGGATATATAACCAGAAGCGGTATTGTGGGGTCATATGGAAGCTTAATTTCTAGTTTTTGAAGGACTGCCCATATTGTTTTTCAGAAAGGCTGGACTAGTGGGCATTGCCACCAACAGTGAAAGAGTGTTCCTTTTTCCCCAACGTCCATGGCAGCACTGGTTGGCAAAGCACGCATTTCAGTCATTTGTTTATCAGCTGTTTATCAAACACCTATCATATTGTCAAACACTGTTTTATATTCTAGACTTATATCAAACAAAATAGGCTACAGTGTTTGCCTTCATTGTAAGGTGAAAATGGAAATAAAATTATATACAGGACAAACTGTTCTCTGCTCTCATAAACAGTTAAAGTCTATATAGAAAATAGAGATAGTTGGTAGAAATGTGACTCAACCAGAAATGGGTCTAACAAAGTAACACGGGTGAAAGTATCTCCATAGAATCAATGAAAAAGGAGCAAGGACAAATATTCCTGGCAGAAGAAGAACATAAAAGACCAGACAGAAGAGAATGTACAAGTCCAGGAAACTGACAGTAGTTCATTTTGTTCGGAACTTACTGTTCAAGCTAAGAGAATGAGAGATGAGGAGGTTAGAAGAATTAAGCAAGGGCCTAACACTTTACTTGTCACAGTAATAGTAAAGAAATTGGCATTTAAGTAGTGAGGAGCCATTAAACAAGGGAGTTATAAGTGACTTAAAGAAATACCAAGAGATGTTATTTCAGTGACGAGGTTTTCAAAAAGTCTTTTTATTTTCTCTGTATAATTGTTCAGACTGGACCTAGGCAAAATTAGGCATTCCACAATTCCGTTTTCCGATCTTACGGATGTCTTATGGAGACTCAGAAGATAGCTGTTATGGCTAGCGAGCTTAATTTGCATCTGGGAGCCCCTGCTTCAGTCGGCACACATGGTCCCCTAATCAGCTCTGGCAACACCCTGGAGTACTGCCAACCGTTTCCTTAGAAGTTGTGACCTCAGAAAAGTGTTACTGGTTATCCTTGTGGACCAGCAAAGAATTTGTGCTTCTATATGTTGGAAGTTTTGTTAGAAGTTTAATGTCTGAAAGCAGAACACTATTTTATTCCTATATCATCACAACAGTTTTAAAGCAAAAAAGAACCTGGTACTACATTTTTCCTTCATCATGAAAGTGCCTGAGTGCCACACAGGGTTTGCTCAGGTAGCCATTCATATTTTCATTCTGCTTGAAGTCACAGCAATGCTTGGAACTGAGCCATTCAATCTAGTTATTGCTGCAATTTGCAGTAAATTCACACATAACAGTGGAACTGCTGCTATAATTTAAGGGACTAACATCTCACGTGTCTCTCTGTCTTGAAAGAATTCTGTTATTAGTAAGACTAAATGATTGATCTCAGAGCACAGAGCCAGGAGTAATCCCTGAGCACAGTATGGGTGTATACTGAAAACCAAAAATAATTTTTAATAAATTTTACACATGATTTTCAAACTTAGTAATAATTAGATTAGAATTATTATATGCCAGATGCTTCATTTAGCTACTAGGCTTATATTAAACTGAAAATTCAAGGTTGTCTTTATATATTATTTTTAATTTTTATCAGTGAAACACTATGATGTTCAGCTGTAGACTTACAAATTTTTGTGCTTGGGTTTCAGTTATACAACGATCGAGTACCCATCCCTCTACCAATGCCCATTCTCCACCACCACTGATCCCAGTATCCCTCTAACCCCCCATCCCCCCATCACACCCTGCCTCTGTGGCAGGGCATTCCCTTTTTTTCTCTCTTTTTGGGTACTGTGGTTTGCAAAAGAGGCATTGAGTGGCAATCATGTTCAGTCTATAGTCTACTTTCAGCATGCATCTCCCTTCCTGGTAGGATCCTTCCAACACTTTTTATTTGGTGCTCCTCTATCTGAGCTGCCTTTTCCCCTAGAATGTGCAGCTGGCCTCCAAGCCATGGAGTAAACCTCCTGGTACTAATCTCGGCCACTCTTGGGTGTTAGTCTCCTATTTTGTTACTTTATGTTTCCTAGATGAATGCAGTCTTTCTATGTCTGTCCCTCTCTTTGACTCATTCACTTAGCATGATACTTTCCATGTAGTACCACTTGTATATAAATTTCATGACTTCATCTACATAGTACTCCATTGTGTAGATGTACCAAAGTTTCTTTAACCGTTCATCTGTTCTCGGGCACTTAGGTTTTTTCCAGATTCTAGCTACAGTAAACAGTGCTTGCAATGAACAAACAAGTGCAGATGTTACTTTGACTATATTTTTTTGCCTCTCTGGGATATATTCCCAGGAGTGATATTGCTGGGTCAAATGTGTCTATATTTTTAAGCTGGCAATTTCACTATTTTCTGTAAAAAACTTCCTCTATCCTCTTTCCATGAGAAAATAATTTACTTGTGGAATTTGTTCTATTTCCCCCTTAGATCGTCATTGTTATAATTATGAGTCATAACATATATTGTTTGGATTTTCATCTATTTGTCTGTATGTCCATAAAGCCATAGTACTATGTTATCTTTGCATTTAGTTTATGGTCATGATGCTTGGCTTCTAGATACCCATTAAATAAGAAAATTTCATTCTTGTAGCATATAATTTTAAGTAACTTTCTTTTATTTTCATGCAACCATTCATAGAGAATAAAAAATTGATGTTAATTTAAGTGTTTCAAGGATATGTTTTCTGGAAAACAATTATGCTTCTTGAAACTTTTTAAAGTTAATTTTTAATACATTTTTTATTTAAAAAATGTGATTTATATTACTGATAGCAGTGTTTTAGATAAACAGTGTTCTGATATTGGTGGTACCCACCACCAGAGTGCCAGCATCCTTCTACCAATCTCTCCATCTTCTCCCATTCCCCACATCCATCCCTTTGCAAAATCTGTTCTGCAATTGTAAATACGGCTTTAAAACAAACTTATGAGGTTTTATACTTGAAAAAAATCTGATATTTTTTCATATAAATTGCCGAGAGAAATGGTAAACTGTCCACTTGTCATTAAAGTATTATTAGTAGTTGTAAATCTTTAGCCAAAGTGATGTTAGTAGAAAGTAAACAGTGCCACCAAGTGGTATTCAAGGGTTTTGATCATTTGGAAACAGATCATTGGCTTTCTTTTCAACAGTTTTCCATCCAGTTACCATTCTAACAACAATCAGGCGTCAATGGCAAATATACCGTCTTCTGCATCAAATGTGATTGGTTCTTCTACCTTGACTTCAACAAGTGGCTTAACAATGACATCTTCTTCCAACATCACTAACCTTAAAGAGAGCGGTGGCTGCAGGAAGGCCAGGGTTTTGTATGATTATGATGCTGCAAACAGTAGTGAGTTGTCACTTCTGGCAGATGAGGTAAGCAGTGCGTGGATATAAGAGGGGAAAAAAATGTCATAGATTGACATGCCTTTTGGTACTTAGTAACAAAATGCAAATTATTCAGTATTTACAAGCAGTTTTAATCATGAATACTTTGCTAGCTGTTAGATGGTTAGTTCTATGAACCTTTTTGGGGTATGGAATGAGAAATCAGACCCGGGTCTGAGGCATGCAAGATAAGCACTTTACCACTGAACCACATTCCCAGCTTTTATATTAACATTTTATAAAATTCTATCATTCTTTAACAATATAGAGTACCACAGAAATACTTAGAGCTTTTAACTGGGGCTGGAGAAATAGCTTAGGGTTAAGGAGTTTATGTGGTTCTATCCCTGACACCGCACATGGTGCCCTGAAGACTATAAGGACTTATCCCTGAATATAGAGCAAAGAGTAAGTCCTGAGCACCATGGAGTATACCTACCCAACTCCCCACCCCACCACCCAAAAAAAAATAAAACTTGTAACTGCGTAGGAATTGAAGTAATAGCTCAGAAGGCTGAAGCCCAAGCCCAGAGTTCAGTCAGTCCCTGGCACTCAGGGTTGGTCCAGGTTACCCCCAGCACCACTTAGCTTGAGCAGCCCCACATCAGTGGGCTCAGGCACTGGTGCACAGAATCATCAGGCCCACCACAGATCTGAGTATCACCAGGAGTAGCCCCAAGAAGTCCCTCGTCCCCTTCCTGCCAAAAGAATGGAAGGAAAAGAAAACTTATAACTGCTGAATACCCAGAAGATTTCTAAACTTGCCTCTATTAAAATCCTTTGACTATAAAACTGATACAGTCCTTTGATAATGAATAATTTTTTTAATTAAATTTCAGTTTGGTTTTCTGTTCTTTTTTTTTTAATAAAGCTTATATCTGGAAATATTTTCTTTTCTAGGTAATCACTGTGTACAGTGTCGCTGGAATGGATTCAGACTGGCTCATGGGAGAAAGGGGAAATCAGAAGGGCAGAGTGCCAATTACTTACTTAGAACTGCTCAATTAAACAGGCGGGCCATTGGGAGATTACCCATGATGATGCCATATTTATATACAATTAACTGAATAAAACAGGTTTATAACTATCTTCCTTGTTAATATCTTAAGAGACTAAAAAGAAAATATCTGCCATCAGATACCGGCCTTTCTGCCATTGAAGTTGCATGGTAAATATTTCATCACACAATTCATGTTAGAGCTTTCATGCCAAGAATGTTTTCTTACAAATTCTTTCTACTGAGGTTTTACTAATAATAGCAGCTTCTACTTTTGAGCCCCAACTGAAAGCAGAACTGTTTTCTACTGAATTTTTCATTAATGCAAGCTTTTCCTTTTATGTGAAATAAATTTATTGTGAATTGATATCAGTGACTCATTTATTAGGTATAATTAACAGCCAAAGAATAATTTTAAATTTCTTTAGGACCAAGGATGTAGTTCAGTGGTAGAACACATGCTTTGCATGTATGGGTCTCTGGATTCCATCCCTGGTACCAAAAACAAAAGTTCTTAACTTTGCATTTAAAAAGATGAGATACAGAAATGTCTTTTGTGAAGAATAAAATGTTTCTGATTATTTATGTAAACAAATGAAGTTATACCATGCTTACCATGTTTTCCAACAGAAATTGAATTATTTTAGCAATATATTTTAATGGGTTTTGGGGGTGCTTGTTTTATTAAACACTACTGAATTTTTTTTAACTCAAAAACTGTCCTTGAAAAATATTACCACATTTCTCTGGCATCTTTGCACTTAAGATTCAAAACATCTGGGACAAGTAAAAAGTGTTTTTAAAATTGTTTGAGTTCATAACCAAATGCATTATCAGAATAAGGTTTGTTTTCAAAACACTGCAGTACCATCAGCAAATTCTTATTGAATAACAAATTCTTATAAAAATGGATTAGTGCAGATATACTCTTCCTTGAGCAAATTATATTAAAAAGTAATAAACTTTGGTTACATGTGAACATACTAATACATTTTTTATTAATGGATTTAAATGCTCTTGATCGGGATCCCTAGTTATAAAACACGGATTAATGGCTAGCAACATACCTCGAATCAGAAAATAGCTCCTTGGACTATTACAGTGAATCAGTATACTGATTTTTTTACTCTCATTCTTTTACTCATTCATTAAAATAGTGCTTGAGGCTGGACGCTGCTGATTCGCCAGCTTAGAACCCTTAACAAGATGCACACAATCATTCACCTCTGTAGATCTAAACAGACCAGTGGAGGATGAAGAAAAGTACACAGCTGTAAGATAACAGAATTAGTGTGGTTGATAGAAGAAATATAGGTCCGCTAGTTGGCAGTTTGGGGATCGCCTAACTCATATTTGGGGAGTACGGAGAGAAAATGCTTCAGACACAGGGAAAAATATATGCCGGGCTTGTAGGCCAGAGAATGTAGAACAGTCTGACAATTAAAAGTGGTTTGGCTAAGCAAGAAATGCAAAGATGACTTCAGGCAATGTTAATATATCAAAATGATATTTTGGGTTACTTTTTAATAAAAAGTGGCTACTTAGATGTCATTTTAAAATATCCTTTTGGGCTAAAGAGATAGTACAGGAGGGAAGGTGTTTTCCTTGCACACAGCCAATTCCAGTTCAAATCCCCAGCACTGTGGTCTCCCAAAGCTCTGCCAGAGCTTCTGAGCACAGGCCAGAAATAACCCCCTGAGTGCTCTGAGGCTTCGCCTAACACACACACACACACACACACACACACACACACACACACTTTTGTATTAAATAAAGACTCCTAATAAAGCGTGATAAGCATGGTAATAATTTATTTCATAAGTGTTAACAGTAGTTGTAAAAATTTTATATCTGTTGCTAGACAAAGTATTCTGCGTTTTTATAGTTTAACAAGATTCTTGGATTCACATTCTGAATTGCCATATTCTGAAAGAACCCTAAGAGCTGCTCAAGATGGTTTAGTTAGACATGTAACCAAGTAGGGAAGGTTTTATTCCCCCCAAAAAATAAGTTCTGGAGCCACACTAGATATTAACATCTTTTTTATAGTGCAGATTTAGGGTTTAAATGATAATACAAAAAATTCGTGTCAGTTGAATATCAAATCAGACACAGGGAAAAATATATGCCGGGCTTGTAGGCCAGAGAATGTAGAACAGTCTGACAACTAAAAGTGGTTTGGCTAAGCATAAATGCAAAGATGACTTCAGGCAGGAAAGAAATATGGATAAAGAGGGGCTGGAGCGATAGAACAGCTGGTAGGGCATTTGCCTTTCATGCGGCCAACCCAGGTTCGATTCCCAGCATCCCATATGGTCCCCCGAGCACCATCAGGACTAATTCTTGAGTGCAAAGTGCAAAGCCAGAAGTAACCCCTGAGCAACACCGGGTGTGACCCAAAAAGCAAAAAAAAAAAAAACTGGCTAAAGAGTAAGCACAGTCTTGAGTTCAGATTTGATGTTCACATACTGTGTTCTTTGAATTTCAACTAGGAGATTTTATTAACTGCCATTTCCTTGTTAGTAAAATGGGGATAATTAGTTACACCACTTAAGGATTGTTGTGAAAATTTTATAGCGCATGATCTAGTACAGTAGGCAATTGTAGAGAAAGGCTTTACACGTCAGAAATAGTCTGTCACCATCAGTTTCCTCTTGTTACAACCTGTAGCTTTCTGACCTACCCAGTCTAACCAGAGATCCTCTTTTTATATCCAGTCTCTATCCCATCCCACTCCTTATTCTCATCCTCTTTAAATCAGACCCAGAGCTTACCACAGTTAAAGTTTTTAATCAGAGAACCTGCTTTGTGTATAATAACCCCAATACGTACAGGTTTCAGTAATGTTAAGGTGTGTACAACAGCTTTTTGTGCTTTTGTCTACCACAAATCCACCACGATATGTGAATATGTTCTTACATTTATTTTGTTTGATTTTAATAGGATTTTGTTTGATTGGGCCATGGTTGGGGCATGGTTTTGTTTTTATTTTGGTTTTGGCTTATAGAGTCATAAGTTTAATTTTACTCAGGTAAAGCGTAAATGTTCTTAGGCATGGGAGAAAAGCTTGGGAAGCATACCAGTATACCAATTCATGGTGCAATTACTGAAAAAAAAAAAAAAAACTTCTGTGCCCCTGAGCTAAATCTAAAAGTATAAAAAGAATAGTAATGTGAAAGATGCCCAGATGAATGAAATAGTAAAGATGAAAATAAATATAGGCTCTTTTACAAACAAGAAAAAGTAAGTGTATTGTTTCTGTATTTTGTCCTCTTAAGTAATTTAATGTAAAAAGGTCATGATGTTAAATCTTTTATGGTGCTAATCAGAAAAATTCATATTGTAGGGAGGTTAGGTCCCCTATGTATCATTAGGATATGTTTTTCTGAATAACAGTCAGTATAGGAATATGTCTTATTCTGAATAACGATGAGAAATAAGCCTGAGACCAGGGTCTTCTGTCAGTGGGCCAGAGGTCACCTCAGTCTGTTTTCCTCCATCAGAACAAAGGGACAGAATGAATAGATGAGCTTGAATGAGGATGACATTTGGGTAAAGATGATGGTGTATAGAAATAGCTTCAGTTACCCAGAGAGGCCTACCTTACCTGCATGCTTTATTGACAGGGTTCCTAAGAATCTTCTCTACCTCCCACACACATCTGCAATTTTCAAATAGGTCACCCTGGAATATAGCACTTCGAGCCTTGGGGAAAAACCATATATATATATATATATATACACATATGGCTTTGCAATTTGAGCCAACTTTGCCTCAGCCTCTCTCCAAATGAAGTGACTCGCATTTCACTGTGAGACTCACAGGGAATGATGGAGTCTGCAAGTACACTTGCCCTGTTCTTCCTCATTAATCTACTGAGAAGCTCCACCCAGTAGATGACAGTGGGCTACAAAGTGTGGAATTCTGAGATAGACAGTTTCACTATTGCCTGGGAACTCGTTAAAATTCATTTTTCACATACTTTCTACTGTTATTTGTACTTGTCTTCAAGATGCTCTAAAACTATTATTCTATGACAGGTTTTTTTTTAATATTTTAAGACAAAAAAGCTGTTCTAATCTTTATTGTGTTCTAGCTCCAACCGTATTACATTTATAATACTTTAATAACTTATTTAGTGCCTGTTGCTTTAGAATATAGACTCCCTGAAGTAAAGGCTATCATTTTCCTGGTCAGTTAAATTTTCAACTCTTATCTCAATAAATATTTGTCAGGTGAAAAAATTAATAATAATAATTCCTAAGCTTACTCAGGGCCAACTAAGAAACTCTTGAAATAGAGCCCAACAATCTGCTTTCACAAGCCATTTGAGTGATTATGTGCACTAAAGTTTGAGAACTGCTTTAGTAGAACAAAGAAACTTCACCTTTCTCTTTTAGGCCTACTTACTGAAGTTCTCACTGCCTTCTGTACCATCACCACTCTTTCATAGAGGAGCAGTGTTAGGCCCTATTACAAGTAGATAAGAAAATTTGAGTACGCTTCGTGTATAAGAAATAGAGCTTACAATGCCAGTACTTGGTTCCTGTGGAGGTTTTCTAAGAATGTATCCCGTAATTTGAAGAAGGGCAAACACTCCCACCACACATAGTTCTGCTCAGCAATAGTGACAGTTCAACACCAAAGTACCATAACAAACCATGGAGGTCGTCTCAGGCTAACATCTCTCTGCCTCAAGATGCTAATTCCCAATCTTATTCCTACTTCAAAGGAAACTTTTTAAGACTTGTTAAAGCTTTTTTTAATAATAACAAATTATAAATGTGTTGGTAAAAAAAAACATAGTTCAAAAGACAAATTACCTACAGTCTTACCATCTAAGGGAAAACTGTCAGGTTTTAACCTTCCAAACTTCTGTGAATTTATGGATTTTTTTTTTTAGTGACATCGTGTTGTACATACTGTTTTGTAACTTTTTCACTTAACAATACCGTCACTATCCTGTGTCAAAATATTTCTATATCATTTTAAATGGCTGCATGGTTCCATTCGTATGTGCCACATTTTATTAAACTATTGAATTTTTTTAGGTTGTTTCCATTTTTACACTAATAAACTGCTTTAAAGAACACTGTGTTGCTAAATTTTATGTCTTCTTAATATTTCTATAAGGTCAGTGCTTGGAAATGGAATTGCTACTGAGAGTATGCCAGTTTTTAAAAGCTTCTGGTACTGCCACTTTGCCCTCTAAAAAGCGTACCATTTTGCCCTGTTATCAGCAATATATGAAATATTGCTGTTTCTTTTTGGAAAGCTTCCAACAGAATGTTCTTAAATCCCTAAGAAGATAAAAAGGATTTTGAAAAATTAAAACCAAGATTAGTCTCCTAATATGTCTTGCCATCT